CAGCAAAGGCAGTTCTAAAAGAAAAGTTTATAGCTAAAAGTGCCTACATCAGAAAATCAGGAAGATCTCAAATAGATAACCCAATGATGCATCTCAATATCTTAGAAAAACAAGAACAAACCCTAACCAAAGCCAAGCATGGCTTGTCTATGATATTCCCTCTTCCCCCCATGTCATCTGGGCAACTCCTCCCATTTTGTAAGGCCTAGTGTAAATAGCTTTTTCTTTAATGGTAACATTTTTTGGGTGTAACTGAATTTTAAATATCTGGCCCTAATGGATTCATTCATTCTTTCCATTATTGGGATGCTTAGAAATGTAGCCCTCTTAAATTCCCAGATGCGATATACACAGAAGAGAACCTGAAATGACAACACGTAGAGATAAGTGTGGAGAAGGGGGAAATTTTAGGTGCAGTGGGAGTGTAGAAGGAGAGACTTTAATTTAATCTAGGAGTTGTGAACAATGTGGTGAAGAGTCTTCCTGGATAAGATAATGTCTATACAAAGAACTGAAAACCGGGCGTGAAGGGCACACAGATAATGGGAACAAAGATACATCATGTACAGGTGCAAGCACCCAATGATAAATGTAAACATATTGCATACCTAAAATGTACCAATACAAGAATTTTTTAAAAAGAACTGAGAACCATTAGAATTTAAACAGATTGAAAAGCATGGAAAATCTTTCTAGAAAGAGAAAGTTGTCCAAATGCCCAGCACCATCTAAATTAAAGGTGTCTTTGGGGACAGGTCTGGAATATGAAGTTTCAGAAGGAATATGCTGAGAAGTAAGGCTGAAGTCTGAGGTGAAAATCAGACCAAGAGGGGCCAGAAAAATTCACATAGGGAGGTGGATTCTGCCCTTGGGATCACAAGGGGCCCTTTGATCTGTGCTTTGAGAAGATCAAATAGACTTCAGAGTCAAGAGATTTGGGGGAACCCCACTGAGAGCAGAGGGAGACCAGTTCAGGAACATCAGATGTGTCTCATCCTCATTTCCTTTTGTGTCATCACTCTTGACATGTCTGATTAGGAGCCGCACAGAATTTAAAGATGATATGAATAGGGACAAAGGTTGGTACTTTTCTTGTGAGCCTACAAAAAAGGGTGCCCTTTGGGCCTGGAAATCTGTTTTAAGTGATCAGAATATCAGTGTCATATTTATGGTGGACATGATGACAGTGTATTGTAAGCTGTATTCCTAAGCTCAAATGCCATACTGTAGCAAAATTCCCCAATAATTTGTGGTTCTTCGGATCAGTTGCAGATTTTGGATTTTAATCACTCTATCCAAAAGTTTCACTGGCAATAATGGACATTGCTGACACAAGACATAATGTATTGCTTCACTTCCAGATTTTATTAGTACTAAGATTCAATGGCTACATGTCATCAGTGCCCTAACATGAATTGAGGGTGAGCAGAATGTCCTCCCTCACAGTGTCTTGACTACAGAAGTTGAACCTGTGAAGAGAGAACATCAAAAAGTCACCACTTCCTGGAACCAAGCTGTGGTGTTTAGCCGGAGGAGAGTTACTGCTTTCTTCTCTCACTCCTGCAATCTGAGAGAGGGTACACCCTGTGCCCAAGGCCAGACATCAACTACAGGAGGCCTCTAGTGGAGAGGACAGAATCTCCTCTCCAACCTTGTAATAGGGTTGTGCAAACAGCATAGAGAGGAACTGCCAATTACACCCTAAAGGATGGCCAAGGTTCATTTTCCATTTAATACTTTCAGACCATGGCTCACTGTGGAAAACTGAAATTGTAGAAAGCAAAGCTTTTAAGAGAAAACTACTGTAACTAAGAGCAGCATGGGTGAATTATACATAGGCCTGTGTTTGGCTATTTAAAATTGCCAAATTGTGTTCCAAAGTCTTTTTATCATTTATAGTACCATCAGTAGTATATGAGAATTTAAGATACTTGTTATCCTCAATATTGCTTGATATTGTCAATCTGTTACATTTTAGCCATTTATAAAGGTTGATGATGGCATATCATGGTTTTAATTGGCATTTTCTTGTGGCTAATAGTCCATATTTTTCTGTCATTTCGCTTCATGAAATTTATTTGTATTTTTATATTTAAAGTGCATTTAAGGTAGGTAGAGCACAATGATTTGGATATTGACATTTTAAAATCTAATGTGACAATTTCTACCTTCCAATCTTAGTGTTTAGGCCATTTTTATTTAATATAATGATTGGTATGGTTTGGTATAACTCTATTGTCTTTCTATTTGTTTTCTATTTCTTTGCTATGTTCTTTGTTCTCTTTTACTTTTCATGTTCTCCTTTGAATTGTTTTGATATCATTTTATTTCCTTAGCTTGTTTGCTATAGTTCTTTGTTTTATTATTATAGGGATTGCTTTAGAATTGACAGCATATATTTTTATCTCGTCACATTCTAACTCTAAGTTATATAACCAATTTACATATGGTAGAACAAACTTCTAATAGCATATTTCCATTTCTTTTCTCTTCCTTTTTACGATGTTGTCATATGTTTTACCTAGACATAATACTGTATACCCCAAAAATATTGCTGTAAGTTTTTAAATACTCAGGTTATTTTGTTGTTGTTGCTTTTTTACTGGTGTTGGGAATTGAACATGCAGGACTTTGTACATGCTAAACTGATGTGTGACAGACCTTCATTTCCATCTGCTAGTCAGTTATTTTCAGAGAGAATTATATAATAAGATTTTAAAATCTTGCATATTTTCAATGTGGTTAATATTTACTATTCTTCTAATTCTTTTCTGCAGATTCTTTTCCAAGTAATAGTACATTCTTGTGCCCCAAATCCTTAGCCTTGAACAGTTCTCGTAGTGTTGACCCGTTGGTGATAAATTCTTTCAATGTTGGTATGTTCAAAAATTTTTGCCTTCATTTTTCAAATATATTTTGGTGGGCCTAAATTCTCTGTTGAACTTTTTTCCTTTTCAGTACTTTAAAGATGTTGTTATATTTCCTTTGGTTTATATTGTTTCTGACAAGAAATCTGCTAAGTTTTTTTTTTCCTGTATGTAATCTGACCTTTTTCTATTGTTGCTTTTAAGAGTGTTTTTTTTTTCTTATAAATGGTTTTGAGTAATTTGATCCTTGTGTGTGTTTCTTTTTTCTTCATATTATTATGATGATGATGATTTGATTTGTTGATTTATAGTTTTAACCAAGTTTGATGATTGTGGAGACATTATTCTTGAGATATATTTTTCTGTGACTCTGCCTTTGAAGGCTTCAAACACAAATATATTGATACTCTTGAACTTTTCCATAGGTCACTGATATTCTTTTTTCTCTATTTCATTGTAGATAGTCTCTATAATGTCTTCAACTTCTGTGGTCTTTTCTTTCATAATGTGTAATCTCCTGTAAATTGTATTCAGTGTACTTTTCACTTGAGATTGGATTTTTATTTCCAGAAACTTTCAGTGGATCTTTTTAAATTTTTATTTCTTGGGGAGGTCTTTTTTAATATGTGCCATTCTCCTACTGACCTTTTTGAACTAATGGAATAGATGTTTAATAACTGCTTTAATGTCCCTGTGTAACATCTTTATCGATTCTGGTCAGGTATTAATTCATTGATTACTTTTGTTATGATAAGTCATATTGTCCTCCTATTTTTACAACTGGAAGTCTTTGATTAACATCACTTATTGTGGATTTTATCTTGCTAGCTGCTGGATAATTTTGTATCTGTATAAATCTTATTAAGCTTTGTTCAGGGATACAGTTAAATTATTTGGAAATAATTTGATCATTCTGAGTCTTGCTAAATCTAGATTAATCATTCCCACGGAGAAACAAAACCTTCCTAAATATTCTACTCAATGTCTCTTGAATTACAAGATTTTCCAATCTGGTTGATGGAAACAAGCACTATTCTCAGCCTTGCCAGAGCACTGGGCACTGTTCTCTCTAATCCTTCCAACTGGCTGTTTCCCTGGCCTTGGCTACTTTGCTTACGTGTGTACTGATCAACACTGTGCTGACTACTCAATGGGGGCCTTTCAGAACTCTAGAATTTTCCTTTCACAATTCTCTACTTTCTGGTAGGCTGTGTTTTGAAATCTATTTGCCTTAGGTTCTCTAATTCTTAACTCTGCCTCCTCAATATAGAGACTAATAATTTCAGCCTACACTCCTGTCTCTTGGCTGTGTCAGATCCTGGAAACTCTCAAAGTAGTAAGGTGGGATAATTTTAAGGTTCCTCTTTGTTTTCTGTCTCTCAAGCAGCATTGTCTTTTACTGCTGGAAGTTCAGTGTTCTGAAACTGTTGTTTCATATATTTATCTGGCCCTTTGATTGTTTTATTTGGGAATGGTGTCTTTGCTCCTTCTTTGCCAGAAACACAAGTCCCCCCATTGGATTTTTATAAGGGTAAATTATATTTGATGACAGAAGAACCAGTGTTCTCTGCCTTGGAATTTGTCTTAACACTCATACACTCTTGAGCTAATATTGTATTATTATGATTATGATCATTATACTTTTTTTGGTGAGCATCCTTTGGCCTATAAATACTACAGTCATGGTTAGAACAAAAGGTAGATCTCCTGGATCTTTCTCTTCTCCCAGAAGAGACACAGAGCAGCCTATTTCTATTCCTTGATAGCTTAAACAAGCTCCTGATGATTTAAGTACCAATTTGATAAACCATGAAGTTTGGAGATGATATATATATTAATTACATACCTACTAAAAAGCTTCTCTGCCCCTTGAAATGGATCATGATGCTGGACTCTCATTCTAACATTTAATTTGTATCAGAAAACACAACACTTACCTATAAATCTATTCAAGTTCTGTAATTGCTCCCAAAGACACAGTAGATATTAGGAGGCAGCTGTGCCTCAGGTAAAGGAGAACTACGGTAGGAAGTGTAACTTAAAGGAGAATTTCAGTGGGAATAGGATTGTAAACACTACTCAATCCTTCTCATCCCTTTGGTTTTTATTACTTACACTCTTCCATCATTTCTTGTCACCGTGACCCTTGATGCTCCCACTCTAGGTAGGGTTAGGTTGATCACATTGTTGTACCAAATAAATTTCACCTTCTGTAAGTCCCCAACATCCACATCAGAGTCAATCTGACTAGTATGAGTGTTTCCTGGTTTGAGAGAGCCTCTGGGAAGTAAAGAAGTTAATAGAAATGTACATGAATACACTCAAAATAATCATATCTATAAATATAAATGTACCTAGATATATATGTAGATGTATTTCTAAAACCAGTTTGCATTGTATCTCTAGCTAAAATGATTAATAGCAAATTCATCATTCTAAGGTATTAAATAAATTCACACATGTATGTTAACTCAGTATTAAGTTTTGCTTGCCCTCAATGATTCATACAACTTTAGTCATCTTCACTTTAGTGAAAGTTCTAAAATGTTTGAGTCACAATCTTTTCCATTTAATATATAATCATTATGTCATATTTTATCCACTTTTGGGGGGAGAAAATTGTTTTTTTAAATTATAAATCAGATGCCAGGCATCAAAGTAAATATTAATGGTTTTCTTGGAAATACAAAGAAAAAAATTTAGAACTAGAATTCTGAAATGCATTAGAGTGAACATGTGAAAAGATGTCTTTCTTTCTTTTTTATTATATGTGACAGTACTCAATTCCCACCAGGCAAAGAATAAACAAACTCTTCTCACAATATACATGAGCAGTGTTCAAACATTTAAGAAGCTTGAAAAATATTTTACTCACTTGTAAATTTCATACTGCTTAGAGTTTCCCCAATTTCCATACAAAGAAACCAGGACATGTCCTGTAACCTTCTCTCCCGACAATGTGACAGCTACCTGATACCTCCAACCTGCCCAGGACATAAAATTTGCAAAATGTCAACTTGTAGAGAAGATTCGCTAAAAACTGGTTCATTTCCATCTCACTACTGCAGAATTTTGAATACTTTATACACAATGCTGCTGATTCTATTAATGAAATAATCATAGTAATTCGCTTATCTAAGTGTTCACAGGATAGGTATTGAAGAGTGGAGAATGTGCAGAATCTTTCCAAAGTTAACCAAAAAATTATTTAAACCAAGGGACTAAGAAATACATTTGTTTAAAATTTATCAACATAGTAGTTTGTTCCTCAATGGTTTAAGAACATTTTGTCCAAAGGTACTAGAAAGATAGTAAAGTGTGACATTTTCATCAGTTTGTTTCATTTTCATTGGTCACTAAAATTTAGAGTACTGTCATCTTTTTTTCTGAATAAGTAAATATTTGTTAAAAATATTCCATAGTTAAAATTTCCATCATTCTTGGAAATATACCAATTTAGGAAGACAAAAATAAGTTCCTTTGGTACTAGTCAATAAAAAACCTCATTTTTTTTGCCATTCAGCTGTAGTTAGGGACAAATTGGGGATGGGATTAAAGTCTGTATTCAGTTTTCATAATTTTCTTAATTCCACTGATTCTGATCAATGTAGTTTTCTTCCTCTGTTAGCCTCTGTACCATTTCAATACCCTCTAATTCCCATCACCCATGGTATGGAACCGGGAACCTGGCCCTAAGAAAAGGAAAAAGCTGAGTGAATCTGAATCTAGAGAAATTCAAATTGCCTATAAACAAACAAATAATTTCCCACGCCTGTGGATAGGTTAATATTATTGGGGGTGGGAGCACTTTTTCCCATGCTTTCCATTCCCTCAAGAAAAGTATAAAAGTTTCAAGTTCCAAACTGTGATGCGTCTCATTTCTTTGAGTGTCCTCGCACTGTTCTTCAGTGCATCCTAAATCTCCGTCTAATAAACCCTTCTCCTGCCTTTTTCTGGCATGTCCTAAAACCTCTTTTTCCACAGCAGGAGTCAGCACACCTGCTACGAAAATGGTAGATGAAGTTCCTTATTTCAGCTTCTGGAATCTCTCATACCCAGCCACCTCTGTTATCTCTCTCTGGGATTACTTTTCTGCTTGTATAAAAGCTCAGAATTCTGCTCAGTAAAACTTTTGACTGAATACAGAGAGGCTGGAGCAAAGGAAACCTTCTGTATTGGGCACCAGAGTCAACTGGTAAGAAATTACTTTTTGTCTCATTAACAGTTTAAGACTCAGACTCCATTCTGCTACTCCAATTAGCCAACATTACACTGAGCATGGCATTTCACACGTTGTCAATGGGCATGATAAAACACACAGTACTAAGAATGTAAAGTACATAGAACAGAAACGTGAAAAATTACTCGTATCACCAGTGTTCAGGTAAAATTTTTGGAACATTCCATTTGTTTTCCCAGAAAATCTATCAGCATAGTGACCCATCTGTGGGCATCCTCCATTTGCACAGGGGAAGCACTGGTTCTAGTGAAAATAAATAGTGCTAAGTACTGTTACAATGCAAATATTCTAACACCAAATGGGTCCTGATGTAAAAGGGACTTTAAAATGCAAAGGTTAGCAATGTGTCTCATTATTCACAAGGATAAATGAACAGTTTCACTTTTAGAAAGCACAAGCCTATTAAAATCACATAATGACATGGCATTTACCCTCCTCCCTTTGCCTCTTTAAATTGCCCCAATTGCTTGAGATCTTCCTGTTGCTGGTTAGAATTTATTTTAGAAAGATTGCTTAAGAAAGAATAATTAGCTTCTGATATGCAAAATAGGATCCATCAGGAGAACAATAGGCTCAAAAGTCACACTTTTCTCCATTTCTTTTTAGCTTCCACTTAACATAAAAAGGACTAAAGAATTCAATTTACTCATAATTCTCCCAATATGGAGAAATTGCTCTAGCTGGCCTTTAAGGCCTAGAAAATATTCTCTCTTCCTAAGCCAAGGGATTGGTTTAAAAGGGGTGGAGAGGGAAGTACAGAGTTGAAGGACAAGTATTCCACTCTGGAGGGGAAGGCTACTCCACAGTAAAGGCATTTGGTGGAATCCTGAATCAATGAACCCGATGATAGACATGGCAGAGTCTTGGATTTGGTATCTATTAAACTAAAGGGAGGCTGAGCTAGCCACAAAGAAATGGCCAAAGCTCTCTAAGGGCATTGCCCAAATCGGAAGCCTAGACAAACCCTAGCTTTCATTTCTAAATGCTTGAAGCATGCCCATCAATAAGGTAGACACCAATAGATCCCCAAGTCATTCCCTATGGGGAATTCATACTGACCAGACTACTGCCAGGATTACCTGGCCCAATACTAGCCTGGAGAGAAGCTTAGGAAAGGGTCCAAAGAAGGAGAAATTTTTAAGACTGAGACATTACTTACATGCTCTTGGGGGGGGTGTCATCTGGTTATATCATCTGTGGCAGAGATCACTGATATCTTCTTACTGTACTTCTTACTGTACTCTTTTACCTCCCTTGTAGAAGATGGGGCTTCAAGTCCAATTCTGGCAATGAGATGTGACAGCCTGGATGTATACCAAAACCAGTCTTTGTCATAAAAAGCCACATTGGTCCTCCATGCTTCTGTGTTTCTGTGTCTTTTTTTTTTTTTTTTGCCATATGTTTATTGCATTTGAAACATCTCGATGGGTTCCCATTTGAACTTGACGGGCATTTTTCTTGTTAATTTATAAGGTGAATCGGCACCATTAAGAAACTTACTGCTTAATCCACACCTGAGACAGTTGATGGTCAGCCTTGACCAGGCGGATGACAAAGCAAAGCTCATGAGAGCCCACATGCAAGAGCCTTTGTTTGTGGAGTTCGCAGACCTCTGTTTAAGGGCTGTGGAACCATCCCAGAATGAGGACTCTCAGTCTGGATTGTTGTGCTCCTCTCCGAAGCACACAGTTGACACTCAGAACTTGTCTACCGCTTCTCCCAGGAGGCCTGCTGGTGCGGGGCCCTCAGCGAGGCTGGTGATGTCCCAGAGGCGGCAGACTGGGTTTACTCGAGGTGGTGGTCTTTTGTGAGGAGACTTGGCCTACCTGTGGTTGTTTTTATTTTATTTTATTTTTTAGCAGTGGCAAAGTCGATTTGAAAAAGTAAAGTGAAGAGTGGGAGAGAAACTGACTGCAGAGCAAGCCTGGGCCAAGTAAGGAAAAAGCAAGATAAAAGATCACCCTGGAGAAAGCAGGGTGGGCTAGTATGAGGAGAGCCACGATAGCCACACATAGTTGTTTTAAATATTTTATCTTTGGGACAGTTTAGGTAGACATCATAAATATCAAGTTTTACACCCATGAGTTAAAAACTGAATCAATATTAATAAAATCAACACAGCAGTTCAGTTGTACATTGCACTGTTCATTGTTTTAGTTTCTAATGTCATTGTTTGAAGTTAAATAAATCAACAACTTACTAAATATGAAAGTTTTCTGGTTTAGGAACTAAATGGAAATTTTTGCCCAGTTAAAATTCTAGAGCTAATTTTAGGTTGACTTTGCCCATTTTCTTCTAAAGTGCTTGTGGGTGATGGGGTGCCCCCTGTAGTGACAGATACATTCTAGAATAGTTGGATCTGCTGCTGGGTTTGAGCTACAAAGGTGGTGAAATTGGAAGTTCTCTGTGGCCTCAGTCCTGGCTTGGTAACCAGCAGCCCTGACCCCTCCAGTGCTTGAGCTGTAGCCCCAGGCCTGCTGGTGCACTGGCCACACAGCCCTGGCTGCAGGCTGGACCTTTTGCACCTGTATGCATTTGGATCCGTTGTGGGAAGTTTGGCAGTTGTTGATTCAGTGTCTTTGGCAAGGCAGCTGCAGCTGGCAGGAAAAAGCCTTGTAGAAACAAAGACACCATGGATCACCCAGCCAGGTGAGTAGGGGTGAGGTCAAATGTGGACTGGCCTGTGTCTTTCCAGCAGAATCTGATTAAAGCCAGTAACACTGTAGGGCGAGGGTTCGGGCAGATATCGGATAGTGCAGTGGAGACTTCCTGCAGTGAAACTTTATCGAGCCCTAAGGCAGTGCTCAGATGGACATGGTACCAGTCTGATCTTGTGCTGTCTGTACACTGTAGTTGCTGGGCTTGCCTAAGGGAAGCTGGAGGCAGGTGCAGACCACCAGCTTCCTCTGAAAACCACACACACATCCATGGCTGCATTGGCCAGGACCAGTCCCAGTGGTCAGAGGTGGATTATTGCCCCCTGGAGCCTGGTCTGCGCTGGGGGCAGCGGGGAGGAGCTCAGGGAACTAGGAACTGGAAACATGGGCTTTTCTTCCATACCATCCAGTTCTTCAGAGGTAAGGCAGGCCATTCTCACTCTCCACTTCTGCCAGGTGAGCTTGATGATCATGGCAGCCGTGTGCAGCCTCTGGATGTGTCTCCAAGTTAACCAGGAAAGAATGGCTGCCTGAATGAGGACGGCCGCCCGCCTCTGCCTCTCCTGCTTTCAGTGCTGGTGTCGCCTCCAGCCATACTGGATGCAGCGGGCACACTGCTCCAGCACCTGAGCACGCCCGTTTTCCAGGAGTTCGAGCATGGACTCAGTCATGAACACCTTGGTCTTGCCGCAGTGCAGTGGGTCAGCAGGTGTGGCTGCCCTCCGAGTTAGAGCTGGCAGAGCGTGCAGAAGGTCCTGCAGGACAGTCTGTAGTGTGGCCTCCTCAGGGCACAGAAGCTGTCCAGCGAGCCCTCTGGCAGCACACAGGCTGTGGTGTCCAGAAGGTGTGTGAAGATAGAGCCTTCTCAGTAACGAGTATCGCTCCACGAAGTTCTGATGAGAGACCCGGATGGGGAAGCCAGCAGCACTGATGTGGATGGTCTCCATGAGGCCACAGGCCTTCAACTGGCTCAGGACCTCCTCCTGGAGGAAGGTCTGTGGTTGGCCTTGGGTGTTAGGCTTCATGCAGTGGATATAGTGGGGCGTGGTGCTGTGCAGGACCAGCAGGAGCTGTTCCAGGGAGGCCT